TGTGGTGGAGAGCCCCTGCTGTTTGGTGTGTGGAAGAGGACCAGCTTGAATTCCCCAGCTGCTTGCCAAACCTATAAATGCTGGTGGGAGCTTCCCCAGTTAGGCCCTCAGAGTTGCCCTAGGCAGAGGGGAGTGACCTGGAAGCCGCTAGTGGCTTGTGACGGGAAAGAGAGTGAAATGAGAGGAAAAAGAGAGAAAAAGGAAGACACAGACTGGAGCAACAATGTCTAGCAAACTGACACCCACTCATACACGCAACTAGAATGCACAGAGCAAACAAAAGTAAAAACAGGAAAAAAAAGAAAGAAAACACGAAAGGAGCACTGAATCTGCTGAGGCTGTGGTAGGAAAGAGAGAAGAGTTAGAACAAGAGGAGAAAAGGATAAAAAGTGAAAGAATAACACAAATAAAGTAAAAAAAGTTGTGGGAGACAACTGAAAAAATTGATAAGGAAATAGCTGATCCTGTGCTGACTCGTCCTGTGTGGAACACTGTCTTAGGGGTCAGGCTGCCCACTGGGAGGACAAGGTTACCCTAGGCAGAGTGTAGGAGTCTTGGAATCAGCAGTGGAATGTAAAGGGAATGAGAGGGAGAAGAGAGAATCATACAAGCAGAGAGAGAAGCAAAGACAACAAAGAAAGAAAAAGGAAAGAAAGAGAGAAAAAAGAGAAGTGAGGGGGAAAATCCCAACTGTGTTCACTGAGATTGGCTGTGATGGTAAAGAGGGAGCAGAACGAGACGGAGGAAATAAAGAATAAAGATATAGCTGATCCCTGATTAATTGTATGTGGGGCCAGAGGGATTTAGACCTTGCCTCACAATGGCAGGTTGGTGTGCCCTTTTAATGCAGGGACCCATTGATGCTGGGCGGAATTGTCCTAGTTGACAAGCTCGCCTAGAAGTCCGACGGAGGTTTCCTCAGCAGCTCAGCGTGGTGTAGATGTTTGTCCCAGCTGCCTTGGGTGGTGTTCAGCACTCCCATGGAGGGCAGGCTAGAGTTCCTCCTGCTATTTGGGTTGATTTTCCCTAAGCGTTGGGTATTGATCTGGAAGCCAGTAGTGGCTTATGATAGGAGAAAGTGGGCTAGAAGAGGAGAAAGAGAGAAAAAAGAACCCCAACACAAACCTGAGCTCGTTGAGACTGACTGCTGTGGGAAAGAGAAATGCTAGTGAATGTAGAGGGAAGAAATAGAGTAGTAGGTAAGGTGATAACTGAGACTTGATCACCTGTCCATGAGGCTGGAGGAGTTCCACCTCTTCCTCTAGGTAGCGGGGTGCTCTACCCATTTTACGTAGGGTTCTGCAGATGCTGTGTGGGATTACTTTCCAAGGCAAAATCACACCCGTGACCAGGCTTCCATTGAGCTCTGGAGTTTACTGGTATGCCTGCCTTGTGCTGTATGTAGCACTGCAGCAGGGGCGAGGTGCGGGGTGTTCCCACTGCCCAGTCTAGGGCCCCCGGAGAGGCAGGGCCTCCCCTGCTATGTGCAGAATCACTGAAAGGGAAGCTGGGCTTGTTGTCCTATCCAGGCTGCTGGTGTCCCACTAGATCAAAGGATTTTATTATTTATTTATTTATTTTTATCCCCCTGGCCAGCTAGACTAAAATAAAATTAAATTCTCACAGATTCTCTAGTCTGTGGTTCCTGCAGTTTGAAACTGATGTTTGCTACAGCGGGTCTTTGTCATGCAAAAAGCTGCCAGGCCCTGTAACTGAGTTCTGGCATTCCTTAGCTGGGTTTATTCTTATGCTAATTTATGTTAAAGGACCCCACCTATGTGCTCTTTGGAGCCACTAGACTGCAGTTTGAGTTATTAACCAATAATATATATTTCACCCTTTTATTTTTTATGCTTGTGATGTGCTCTGATTTGGGGGCTGTCAGGCTGGTCCCCAGATGGGGAGATCCAGCTTATCAGGGCAGTTGTTTCCTTCTTAGCCAATTGGAATTTATTTTGCTCCCTGGATTCTGACTATCCACCTTTTTTCTTCCACACCTCCATCTACCTGAGGTAAAACTCTTCTTTTTGTTTTACTCTAAATTATGGCTATCGGCCGCCACTCCCCGGGCTGTGAGTTCAAGGCAGCCAGCAGCGTGGAGAGCTCTCGTGGGGTTCTCCTGTGTCTGGGGTTGTGTCCTCTTTAAGGTGTCAGCCTGGAGAAACCGCTGCTCCCCGCAAGGGCATAGCTGGCGTGCGTGAGCTAGAGTGCTTTAAAGCGTTCTAGGTTTGCTTTGTGAGTGGAAATCACACACAAAAATGGGGTTCAGGAGAGACCCTGGGACCCTAGTTCTAATTTCTGGACACCACCTACCCGTTTCCTTCACCTTACCTCCTAATTTTCTGGTCTGGCAGCAGGAGCTCCGGACGGATGAGTCCTAATGGGACGCCAATTTTTTCCTTCTCCACATGAGTTTTATGAGGGAAGGAACCATGTTCATATTTCTGAGCATTCAGAAATATTTAATGAACATGTAATAGCTTTCAAACATTATTCCTATGTCTGAATAATGGAATATAACAGTAGGATACAGCAGTGAACTAGTGTTCAATCACCAGAATGGACAATGAACAAGGCAGGCCGAGCAATACGAACCTAGCATTATGAAGGAATAAATAGTGCTCCATGTGATGATGGGTTCTGTTTGACCAACGGGGAAGGTTCCTTGATATGCTGGCCCATGACAATAACTAGAGAAAAGGCAGTTCAGGGATCAGGAGCAGAAAGGGCAAGGTATGATGGGATGTACCTAAGTGTGTTCCTCAGACAGCATATAAGGAATAAAGAAGAAAAATATGAAACTGGAAGGATTCTAGAGCATTATGGAGGCTTTCTATTTGGGGCGAGAGCATTTTGAAGCTTGTTAGGTGTCACGGAATCAGTTCAGACTAATAGAGATCCTATGCACAAGAGGACACAACAGCGCCCGGTCCTGTGCTAGTCGCCCAATTATTTTTGTGTGTCAGCTAACTCTTGCACAGCCAACACATCAATCTCTTTCATACATAGGCGGCCTTTTGTCCCTGATCTTCGACTTTACCAGCACAATATCCTTTTCCAGGTACTGCTCGCTCCTGATAGCATGTCCAAGACCATGAGACAAATTTGACAACCTTACTTTTAAGGAGCATTCTCACTGTACTTCTTCCAAGACAGATTTGGTTTTTGCCAGTTCACAATATTTCACCAGCACCGTAATGCAAATACATCAGTTCTTCCATATTCCTCATTTCATTGTCCGGCCTTCACACATATCTGAGGCAAGTGAAATGGTATGGCTTGGGTCAGGCACATCTTAGTCCTCCATGGGACACTGCTGCCCTTCAACACTTTCAAAAGCCCTCGTGCCGATTTGCTTAGTGTAATTGATCCTTGATTTCTTGACTGCTGATTCCATGAGCCTTAATTGTGACTCCACACGAAATGAAACCCTTGACAACTTGTTCTTCTCATTTACCATGAGTTTCGGGTCTAAATGGTGAGGGTTTGGGTTGCCTTTTTTATTTACAATTCATATTGAAAACAAAAGTTCTTGATCTCCATCAGCCACTGCTTCAAGTTATCCTCCCCTTCAGGAAGCAAGGTTGTGCCATATGCATGTGACAGGAGGTTAATAAGCCTTTCCCCAATCCTGATGCCTCTTTAATCTTCATATAGCCCACATATTTGCTTAGAATGCAGGTTGAAAATTATGGTGAAATAACAATTCTAGCACGCACCTTTCCTGGTCTTAAACCATGCAGTGTTTCCTTGTGCTGCTCGAACCACTCTCTCTTAGGCGATGTGTAAATTCTTTATAAGCACAATGAAGTATGATGGAATTCACATTATTCTCAACGTATCCATATTTCAATTATGAAGCACGGTCAAACGTCTTTGTATAATCAATGAAACCCAAATATCTTCCAGTTATTCCCTGTTTTCATCCAAGATCCATGTAACATCAGCAATGATATCCCTTGTACCACATCCTCAGTTTTCAATTCCAAGCTGAGCTCTGGCCTGGACATCTTCCCACTTCCCACACCTGCACTGCCTTCTGACCCCTCCACCTTCACAAAACCACATCTGATCTTCCGCTGAGCCTCTCAACTCCTCAATCCCTACACCTATGTCTTCTACTGATGTACCTCCCGCCTCCTGACATTTGGGTGGCTTCCTGGACTTCTCCAATCTCCGTGGTCACACCAGGGCACTCACTGCACCATTCCCTTCTGCTTCTATTTCTTCTACTCCTGTATCTACTGTGGGCAATCAATTCTCATTCTTAAACCCTCCTCAAATCCTTAACTGGGCTACCTCCTTTCCCCTTCCACCTCCTTGCTCACACACCTGGTGGTGATGCCCTGGCCCTTCCCACCCTCACTCCCCTTACTGCGGCTGCCTCTTCCCACTTTCTCAATCATATAATCAGTGCTGCATCTAACCTCCTACCAAGACCACCAACCTCAGTGTTACCCCCATCTAGGCCTTTCCCACCTCAACTCCCATAGTTTATATCTCTTTATCTCTCCTCATTCTCACTCCCCACATCTAAGCTATGTCTTTACTCTTCCTCCTTACCTACCTCTGCAATTTAGTCTGTGGACAGGCAGTCCTGCAAATGCCTATTTATCAAGGTCACAGAAAAAAAAAGTCAAAAGAAGGAAACAATCCAAATGCTCATTAACAGATAAATACATGAACAAAGGATGGTCCATTCATACAGTAGGATTCCATTGAGCACTCTAGCTCTAGCAGGGGTGATCCTTGTAGGCATTAAACTAAATAAAGCAAAGCAAATCATATTAGGATATTTCTATTCAGATATGAAATCCTGAGCAGATAAATCCAGAGACAGAAAACTAGTCACTGACTGTATGGATTGGGCAAAAATCTTGGGGAAGGACTACTTCATGGGTTCAGGTTTCAGTTTGTGGGGGTGAAAATTTTCTGTAAGCAGATACTAGTGATAGTTTTGTAGAACTGAGAAAGTACATAAAGTCACCCCACACTTTTAGTATGATTCAGGCCAATTTTATTTAATGAGAAATATACATGTTAAAAGTAGTATCACATAAGCTGAGAAAATACTAAAGGAAAAACAAGCAAACAAAAAAAAAATACCCCCTTGGGTTAGGGGAGTGAAGGCTCTAATTCTGGACTATCTGTTTCCTGGATGTGGATGAGGAGCTGATGTGGACAATATATGTTAAGAGACTGAGACACTGGAGCCCTAGCCACAGCTGGGCAAAGAGGACCTGGGCTGCCTCCAGGGTATGTGCTGCTGCAGAAGCAGGAAGATAGGCACATGGCACACTGTAGCTGGCCCACAATAACACTCTCACTCTCCAATGGACTATCCCGCAGTTTGTGGGCATGTAGTTGGGGAGGCGGTCCCTGGTGACTGCCCCTGCTCCATTGGTGTGGTAGAAGCATGATCCTCACCACCAGCTCCTCCAGGAGGGTGCTCTGGAACTGGCCCAAGGTGAGACTCTAGTTCTCCAGCAGACTGTCCTGGTTCAGGTGTTAGAGGTGGTGATGGTGGTGGTGTTGGGGGGGTCGCTGGTGATGGAGGGGGTGGTGGGGTCACTGGTAATGGCTCCTCTTGCAGTAGTATCATAGGAACAGGACCATAATCACTAACAACAGATGGTCCTAGGTGATTTGCTGCACCTACCATTTTCTGTGGCTCTGGGGCTGCAAGAGGAAAAAAGATCACCAATGTGACTGTCTTTTCTTGTGACTTGTCAATGACAGAAGAAAGCCCATTACTTTGATGCACAATCCCAAGACTCCTATTCCTTTTTTTTTTTTTTTAACATTTTATTAGGGGCTCATACAACTGTTATCCCAATCCATACACACATCAATTGTGTAAAGCGCA